GTACTCACAGATAAGCCGAGGATCGATCAGTCAATGCAGCCCTGCTTGTTGAAGAACTCATCGAGATCTACAATACTCCTACTCCTAAGGGTTAGCGTGAAGCCAGAAAAGTAATTGTATTAATTGATTGATTTTCTATTATAATAACCGGGGTCTAATATTTATACCCGGAACCTAAACATGAGTCCTACTCAAATACGACTCATTACAATTCTCGGAAAAGAAAACATTCCTAACTTAAAAATAACTTGGACCATAATCTTTCCTCTTTTGTAGAGTCCGACATATTTCCTCCCGATGCCATCCGTACGTAGTCCATTAACGTTGTATGCTGACGTTATCTATAAAATAGCCGATTCTGACACTGCATCAAATCAATCGACGTCGATTCACACCTGATCAATTCCTTGATGATACAATCTTAGAACCTTTGAGTTCCCACGTTCTTCTTTGCTAAATTTTGGTGTAAATAGTTATAATTAAGATAGAATTGCTTGACCATACAAACAACACGCTTATAACGAGCGTCCTAGAAGGTCTATAGAATTACAGTTGGGGCTGAACCATCCTAGCATATAGATTCAAATTTTGATATTACACATGGACATACAGCCTAGGAAGTGGGCTTGTGTCTTTGCTTCTGCCAGAGCGACTTATTTTCGACATCCTGGAAGAGCGCTCCTAGCACTTCGCCGTTGGAAGGGTTCGGCCCAGCCTAGTAGGCCTTCCTCTTCGACGCGCTTGACGTTGATAGTCCCATGGCTAAACCCAGCCACTACATGATTAGGATCTCATCTCGTAGGCACCCGACAAAGGCTCTGGTCCGCTAGACGCTTGCTCCGCAGCGGGAGCACCGCCTTTACAGGAGACAGCGGTTTGGGTGGCTCACAAATCAGCGAGGAGGCTCTGATCCGCTAGACACTTGCTTGGTGAAGTTCACGAGGTGGCGTGCGGCGAAGGCGTTGTTGTCCATGGCTAGATGGTTGTCCTGTGGTGACGTGAGTAGTCCAACGTTGTAGGGTCGAGATGGCGGACTAAGGAAGGTGAATAGTCATTTCAAAAATTAAATGCGCCAGCTAACCGAAACAAATATGGAATAAAAAATATCTCAAGCACCTTAAAAAGATCCTAATTAGGCAACAAAGGTATCATGCTAGCTAGAGCTCACTTAAACAATTCTAGAAGTAAGGTCATACAAACCTATGCAACTAGTACTTTAAAAACCGGGGGAGCTCCTACACAAACTAGTAAGCAAAACCTCAAAGCCCCTAAGCTCACTAGCAATGCTCACTAATAAGGCTACATAAGCTAAATTACCTAGCTACACAAACTAAGCAATGTGACTAACAAGGCTATACAAGCCAATTAGTCACGCAAGGGAGCTACTTCTATGCTACACAAGCAATAAGTTAATTAGCAAGCAACACAAGCTAACTAATTACAAGAGCAACTACACAAGCACAATATATATGTATATGTATATGTATATGTATATGTATATGTATATGTATATGTATATGTATATGTATATGTATATGTATATGTATATGTATATGTATATGTATATGTATATGTATATGTATATGTATATGTATATGTATATGTATATGTATATGTATATATATGTATGAAAGTAAATACAAGCTTGTATATGGGAAGTGCAAACTAACGGGAAGAACAATGTTGATATGGTGATTTTTCTCCCGAGGCTTACGTGTTTGCCAACACGCTAGTCCCTGTTGTGTTGATTGCTCGCTTGGTGGTTCGGCGGCTAATTAGCATCAGCCGTCAAGCCCACACGTTGACCACCACAAGAACCTACCCACAAGTGAGGGTAACTCAATGACATGCTCTACTAGAGTTGCTCTTCGCGATCCTCGCGGGGCGAGCAGAATATACCCCTCACAATCCTTCTTCGGAGCACCGCATAATATTATTGCGTGCTTTGATGGAGCCACAAGCCACCAAGCCATCTAGGAGGTGGCACCTTCATGTGTAACAAGCACCACCGGGTTGCAACACGAATACCTAGTGCCACTCGATGCAATGTCTCAATGCAACCGCACTAGAATCACTTACTCGCAATCGATTCGCACTCTTGCAAGCATAGGTAAGTAAGAGGGCTCCCAAGCACACCTACACAAGCCACCAAGGCTCAAGGGTGCTTAGCAACCAGTCCAAGGCCGGCTAATGCTTGGTTTTATAGCCCCAAGAAAATAGAGCCCTTGTACCCATCACTGGGCACTTTTCGCACTGATTGGACACGCCCATCCAAGTGATCGGACTCGCCTATACCAGGGTTCGGTCACTAGGATGCAGCCACGCATCACTTGTGTTCAACCTCAGCCGTGCGATCCCAACGGTCATGTCACAAACGCGCGCTCGTTAAGTTGTGACCGGACTCGCCTATAGAACGACCGGTCTCAGCCTCTACAGGGTTTGGTCATGTTCCAGAGAGATCCAGAGATGACAAACATTGATCGGATGCATCCTATCAATGGTGACCGGACTCGCCTGGTGCCCGGTCCTCTCCCTCTCTCGTTTCTATGCGCCACGACGTTCTGACTGGACTCGTCTTTATCCCACGATCGGACCTCGACTCTCCCAGAGTCCAGTCACTTCTAGAGAGGTTCTAGACGTGACCAGACGCATCCTGTCACTACTGACCAGACTCTACCAGCGTTCGATCACAACGTCCTATCACATAGTGTTCATCGCTAGAACAACTATAACTCTTAGCTCTAAAGTCCGATTTCGATGATCTTGGACATTTTAGAAAGCTTATGCAGAGGACTACACATCCCACATGCATATTTGATCAAAAGCATAATGGATCAACATAGAATATCAATCGAAGAACCATCATATAGTTCGGAGCACACCGAAAAACCTTTTTCCAAGGAATGCTAACTTCGAGTGATCTTCCAACTTCTTCTCCTTTGCAAATGTGCCAACACCACCAAGTATACACCACCAAGTGAAAGTGTGTGAGCATTTTCACAAATATTTTTCAAAGGATTAGTCATTCAATTCACCACGCCACTCGATCCTAGCAACGATGCAAAGTTAGATCACTCGAGTGGTACTAGATGACCGATATGCAAACAAGTTTGTCCTTCTTGATAGTATGGCCATTTATCCTAAACCCGGTCATAAACTTCTCTACACACCTATTACCGGTGAAATAAAATGCTCTAAGGTTATACATTTGCCTTGCGCATTCCATTCCATCTCATTCGATGTTGATGCAACACATGCACCAACCTCAACCATCAAATGATATGATCTACTTCATATCATCACATGACCTTATTGGTTCATCGATCTTGACCTCACTTGCTCTTCACCGTTGCCTCGGTCCATCAGCGCCAAGTCCTCGACTTGCCCTTCACTCTTGCAACCGGTCCATCAGGTTAAGTCTTGTCTTGATCTTTTGCACCTTAGTCACATGACTCACTGTCATGTCTCATATGCAATGAGCTCCTTCATCACATATGTGAGCCTTGCAACAAATCCAAGCCATCTTCACCGTCATGGCATGAGTTGCTCACACAAGTGTACCTGCGGACTAATCACCTATCTATCTCACATTTAAACGCATTAGTACACCTAGGTTGTCACTCAATTATCAAAATCAACAAGGACCTTTCAAGCGTCCACCGTGAGCTTAGACGGACCGAAGCCTCGCGGGTAGCCCTCGCCCTCTCTATGGATGCGTCAACATCCAGAGGCGTTTTGTGCCACCCGCGGTTGTGTAACCTGCGCCTGCCCCTACTCAGGTGACTCCGGGGGCGAGTCGTTGCCCACTGAGCAGGGCACGAGGCGGTTATCCGCATCTGCTACCTTCCCATAGGGGTGTAGGTGCACATGCAGGTGATCTCCGCCGACCGCCGGGGCCTCATCTTCTGGAGGAGTGGCCACCAGAGTTGGGTCTCTCATGATCTGGCCGGTACCGATGGAGACTGCAAACTCCTCCAGCATTGGGTCATCCATAACGTTGCGACCAGCAAATGTGGCGACCGTGCACGAAGCCAGTGTCAACAGATCGAGCTCGGGTAGGCACGTCCTGTTGGCTGGCTCTATCAAGAAGAACTGTTACTAATGAGCTAATAACAAGTCAAAGATTTAGGTAATTTTTGGGTTTTGGACAAAGTCTGGTGATAGCACTGGTCCGTGATGCAGTACTCGCATAGTCGCGTCTACTATTTGGAGTTAGGATGAGTCAACGAAGTTGATCTTTGATGTTCTATTTATGATAGTTCTGTCATCCTCACATCTTCCCTCTATGCTTCGCACATGGTGCCTTGCACTAACAATGGTAAATTTTTTAGGTGGAACACTCATCGTCCACCGATTTCATTTTTTTACTTAAATAACCTAACTGTTGTCAGCTCTCCTGTTAAGATCACGTGTGACTAATTTTTACTGGCGCCTAATAATTAGGGAATGTTTAGTTGCTAGCCACACTTCATCTCAGACAATTTTGACCAAATTATTAAGTGTTTGGTTGATAACTAAACTTAGACAATAAAAAATATAGACTTCACGTGTATAAAGTAAAAAAATCTAGATTCTGTTAGATACGGTAAAATGTAACTTTTAAGTTTTCGAGCTACACTTGTCTAAAACTAGCTGTGGAGAATCATGACCTGGAAGTAGGAACCAAACAATCCTACCACGTTGGTATCAAACGGCCGTGGTAGGTTGTAGTGTACCTCCCCCCACTCTCTTCTCCACCGCGGCGCCTATTAAATGTTTGTAGTTTTGCTAGACATGGATCCATCAATCATAGAGGCCTTGCACTTGCACCGTCGGGCGACAAGAGACTACAAGAGTCATGTGAAGAGAGTAGCGACGAGTGAGGGTGATCGTGCGAGCTGTAACGTCTCGATCGTCATCTCTCCCTTTCGCGCCATCAATCCTGTGCCTCCTCACTGCAAATCGCGCTCGCATTCCTCCTCTCAACCAGATTCCCCCGGGTCTTGTCGCAAGTGGAACCCATGTCCGCCGCGGACGCAGGCAGCGGCAAGGAGGCGCCGGCGCCGGCGTGCGAATCCTGCACGAGCCTGCCGGCGGTCGTGTACTGCCGGGCCGACTCCGCGATGCTGTGCCTGCCGTGCGACCGCCACGTGCACGGTGCCAACGCCGTGTCCTCCCGCCACGTCCGGGCGCCGCTCTGCACTGGCTGCCGCGCCACCGCCGCCACCGCCACCGCAGGCGGCAGCTTCCTCTGCACCAACTGCCACTTTGGGTCGGAGGAGGAGGGGCGGCACCGGGACGGCGGCGACCCGCAGCCTCTCCACCACGACCGTGGCGCCGTGGAAGGGTACGCCGGATGCCCCTCGATCGCCGAGCTCGCGGCCATCCTCGGCGTCGCCGGGTACGACGAGAAGGCGGCGGCGGCGGCTGCCGGGGAAGGCGCGTGGTGGCCCGCCTCCGCCTGGGAGGAGCCCCAGGTGCTCCGCCTGGAGGACGTGATCGTTCCCACCACATCTTGCCACGGCCTCCAGCCGCTCCTCACGCCGCTGTCCCCAAAGGTACGGTACTGCCGATGCTGCCACCGCCTGCTACAACAGCCACGGCTCATTGTCGGGCAAAAAGAACGAACAAAAAAAAAACTATTTTTCCTCTTCTCTAATGGTTGTCTTGATGTGGTGACTGGTGAGCTAGAACCGGAGCTCCAGCGGTGAGATGGCTGACGAGATCATCCGGCAGCTGGGTGAGCTCGCCAAGTTGGAGGCAGCGGTGGCGGCGGCTTGCGCGGAGATGGAGCCGGCTGACGGCGAGCTGTGCTTCGGGGTTCTCGACGCTGACGCCGCCTGGCATGATGCAGCAACCATCGCAGCTGTGCCTTCCACTGAGGTTTGGTTCAGTGTTCACTGTTCAGTCACTTCTCTACGTACCACTGTACGCTACAGTATATATCTACTAACTCTGATTTATTAACCCCAAACTAAACCGAATGGATCCTATCAAGTATCAACCTTGCAATTTTGTCGATGTTGTTTAATTGGCTATATAGTAGGGGGGGAAAGTGAATTGTCTCTTGAGTTGTCCTTTTGACCGTGTAAGATTATGTCTGAAATTTTCTAAAAATTCAAACACCTGAAACCATTTTTAAACCACCATGAAAGTTGCCGACTGTCTGAGCTGTGAAACTAGCCAACAGGACCTCATCAAATTTCCATGCAACGGCATGAACAGTGACCGTTCTGGGACATACTTAACTGCGTCCAACAAACAAGTGTACGGTCTATGAACTCTGGTTTTAATGTGAGTTGCCAACAAACCCTTTCAGTACAGCGTTGCAATTGCAAAGGCAAGAAGATATTTCAGGTTTTGAGTAGATGTAGGTAGTAGCAGGGCTAAAACGGAAAGAAGCAGCTTGATCAGCCGTCTCCTCAGTTGCAATAGTTTCGTTTGGTCACAGGAGCAGGAATCGTGGATCGCGACCGGCTGCGACGTCGACGCGTGCCGGACGGAGGAGGAGGAGGCGCGCGAGCACGCTGCTCTGGCTCCGGCACCGACCGAGCCGTGCCTGTCCTCGTTCGTGGAGATGTCACAGATCTGCCCCACCAGCGTCGTCACCCTCAGCCACGGCGGGGTTGGCGGCGGCGGCACCGCCGACGTCGACAACAGCGGGAAGCCAGACGCGGAGACAGCCCCGCGGCCACAGCCGGCCACGACGGCGCCGGCGCCGCCGGTGCTGGTGCCGGTGCCGGAGCTGGTGATGGAGAAGAAGGGCGGCTACGACGTGGCCTACCCCGACCGCGGCACGGTGATCTCGCGCTACAAGGAGAAGCGGAAGAACAGGAGGTGAGCGATCGAGCCGTCGTCGTCGCCACGCGTGTCGGCACCTTTCTCATGCATGTCGCTCGCTGCTCTCGCACGTTGCAGGTTCGACAAGCAGATCCGGTACGAGTCGCGCAAGGCCCGCGCCGACGGCCGGATGCGGATCAAGGGGCGGTTCGCCAAGTCCGGCGAGGTCTGAGACGCGCGTCCTTGGATCGGCCGTACGTCGTCGACGGCAACGAACGAACTAGCTAGTGACCGGCCGGAGCAGGGGACCGCGACACAGCGCGCGCGGCATGCGTTTCTCGTGGGTTGTTTGGTTGGTTTCGCAGCTCGCACGTGTTGTTCTTCCGGGCAGCAGAACTCAGTAAATAAATCAACTACTCGTACTGTACTAGTACGTCTACTGTACGTTGAATAGAGCCGATCCGTGCTTCCTCTTGTGCAGGTACTATGTCGCCTACTCTTGCACACTCCTTTAATTCAATTCAACACGGCTCCACCACCAAGTTTCATCTCGATTTGAAGTGTGTGTTAGGAAGTGATGAGAATCGAGGTTGAACATGAGACAAAAGATTATTACGTGGAAAAAATCTTACAACGAAAAACCTAAAAAAACCACTGGCATGGATCGACGATATTCGTTATATGAGGTGTGCTTACAAAATATAGGAAATGAGATGAGTAGTCTTCTATTCCCGTGCAGTTTACAAAAGGTGTATATAAGAGGACCAACAAAACTGACTACATTAAAAAATGGAAACGAGTCTACTAGTCACGTAACCCAAACCGCAGGCCATACGGGCGTCTACACACTACTACATTAGAATTCGGACCGTGCTCTAACAAACTCCATCTTAAAACAAATTCCATCTTGTACCAAGTGAAGCATCATCAACAACCCACTTCAATAAATAAATAATCACCAACTTCAAAAGTCACTAGGATTTAAACTTTAATATCAACTAAGCTTTAGCATAGCTTATTAGCTCCGGAAACAAACTTTGTCGGCATATCAGCGAGATTGTCATGTGTGCTTATCTTGCATACCTTAACACCACCATCAGTAATGACACCTAGAATAAAAATGATATTTCAAATTGTGTAACAAGGATAAAATGACATCGTGCATGTACACCTTAACATTCGTTTCAAATAATTGAAAAGAATGGTACTTAGAATATTGGATTTTCTATCTCTAGCAATTTCCGTATCTAGAATATAGAATCATATGCTTAGAACTAGCTCGTATGAAAGATATGCATGGTGGGCTGCAGCCCAGTTCTTCGTAAAGTCTTGAACCGTTCACTAAATATCTTGAGGTATTTTAACTATAAATAAATAATATTAATATTTATAATATGAAATATTTTTACGTATATATTTGGTTAAACTTTAGAGGTGTTAACTAAAAATGCATCTAGAATTACATTCTTTAGAGCGACTGTGCAATGCCTACAACTAGATTGGATCTAGGTAGAAATCATCGATCACATATACAATTCCATGTCTCGAGTCATCTGTCTCTCTATATAATATGGTTTTTATGGTAGGGCTTCTCTCCGGCTCTGGCTCCAACTCTTCGGAGGAGCCCTACCAAACGGTTTAGTAGAAGGAGAAAACCACTTTTCATTGAAGAAGAAGAAGCCGGAGCCATTTTAGAGGATCCACAATTTGTAGCTACTTAAAAATGACACCGACTCTCCCGGCCCCCAAACACACCCATAGTGTGTAATCTGGCATAGACAGTCTTGCTACGAGCATGAATTTATGCGTACCAATACCAGTAACATAACACGTCCCAAGTAGGTTCACGGTTAAAAATTTGTGTAGTAGTTAACAACATAAGATTCATATTTTTGAATCACTAGAAGCAATATTTTCATAAAATACAATTCACATTTGTAAAACTACATATATTATATAAATTAATGTTTAAAGCTAGAAATGTTTAGCATAGAACAAAGCTAATAAAATATGTAAAATAACGAAGGGAGTAGCAGCATCCGGAGATTTTTACTCACCCGTTTTACGGCAGAAATTTATATCTATTTTTTATGGAACATACTTGTATTTGTTCCAGTATAATAATAGAAGAAAGAGTTTCATGGCTAGAAAAAGCTTGCAATGTTCTAAATAAAAGAAGAAAAATAAACATTACGTGATGGATTACAGTCGCATCGTATGTCTAGTGGCTTCATCTCACTTCCAACCGCGAATCTCCTGTTATACTAGAAGCACCCGGCGAGGGTTTTTTTAAGGCTCAGATCGCCTTGTTGTACCTGAAGATTCTGCTGCTACACTGGTACTCAAAAAAAAAAATTACGGGTTAAAAGAATTTGAGAGTGCAGGCAGGCACGCGCTACCTTATGCATGCGTGCACGCGTCCGCTCAATTGCTTAGCTGCATGCTATCCAGAGTATAGTAGGTTTAAGGGCATGACAGTGCGCGTACGTACCTGCTCGCCTATTTAATTTGTGATAATTAGTCTGTCCGAGATGATGCGTACATGCATTGTGGACTTAACACGTACACTGATGCATGGTTGTTATTGTGGTTCCATGAAAGCATATTATTGTCCTTGCATGTGGATCGACTCGTCAGCCAAGATGCGTTGGATAGTATTCCCTTTATTTCGTACTATGTATTATATATAATAAAGTTGGCATTATAATTTGGTCAAAAGTCAACATTTATATGATAATAATAATCAAATTCTAGATATTCATACAGTTTAGGATCATACAATTTGTTTTAAAATTCACCCTGAGATATATATTCATTATATATAATTTGCACGTTGTTATAAAGTATATGAATTTATAGAAGTTGACAATCAAAGAAAGAAATGTTTGAATTAGGATGTGTGACAAGGTATAGAAATTGAATCAAAGAACGTGGGTTAATTATTAACTTTCATAAAACACATTGTTTGGAAAAATTTTCAACAGAAATAATTTCTTGTGAAAGCCTTATACTTATAGTCTTCTAGGGAACACACTGTTTAGAAATACTCCCTCCCTTCTTTTCTACTAAGCGTACATTCATATCAAAATTTAAACTTATAAATCCTTAACCAGTAATTTGGTCAACAAATTTTAATTATTATAATACAAACTCGATACAATTAGATTTGTAATTAAGTCTACTATCCCATTATAATAATTTTGTAAATATAAACAATATAATAAAGATAAATAAATGATGAAAGTGTAATTTCAAAAACTATGTCATGTCAAACGGTGCCTTATAAAAGAGAATAGAGGGAGTAAGTACGACCCTGGATCCACTAGTGCTAATTGTTACTAGCCATGGTTCAAAATTTCGATGAAATTTTGCCAAAATTTCATGAATTTCGGTAATTCTTAAGAAAAAAGCGCACTTCATGTGCAAGTCTCTAAAAAAATTCAGTGAAATCTCAGCCAAATTTCATGATTTTCGGTAATTTCAGGGGTAGCCGAAATGTTTTAATACCAAAATTGATAACCCTGTTACTAGCTAGTTTTCATCCCTGAATAAATTAATTGCATGAGTTGTCTTATGGTAACTGCTCTAAGTTTGACTAAATATATAGAAAGGAGCATAAAATTATGACACTAAATTAGTATCATTAAATACATCGTAAACTATATTTTTTATAACATGTCCTTGATGAGCAGAAATGATGCAAATGAATAAATTCAACAAATTTATACTTGGAATTTGTGTTGCTTGGGTCATAGTATGGTTAGTAGTTCTATGTCTCTCGTGTAAAATCATTGCCGATATAGGTATGGGGTGGGACTTAGTAGTTCACCACTGCAATTAGTAGTTTTTTGCTTTCATTTCATTGTGAAAAGAAGTTTATGAGCTACTTGGTGGTTTAACCGTCACCATAGGTCTTTGCATTTGTGTCGAGCACAAACTTCGATGACAAATATTGCTTTCCACTTGCATCTCAGGTGCCTACATTGCTAGAAGTTCTACCAAATCGATTGACAGCTGATGTGCCGGAGCAACTTCATCTAAGTAAACAAGCATTGGTATAAAAACTACATTCTGGAATCAATTTCAACGCCCACTTCTCAAAACTTTATTTGATTTTATTTATGTATGTACTCATGTGTCAAGGTTGAGCAGGGTTCACGAGCAGGTGATGCTTATTGATCTCCTGGATGAAATTCCACACTTGATAGATTGAGTGATAACATGACTTATTATGCCTTGCTATGCATGAGTGTTTTTCGGATTGAACTATGAAAAAAAATACCGCATTTTCATTGTTTTCATGTGTATCCCTGAGATGAACCCGTGGCGTTAGCATGGATACTATACTAGTGGTTAGCAGTTCTATGTCTCTCGTGTAAAATCATTGTGTAAGGTAATCAAGTCACACCGTGTGTTTTGATTAGAAAAAAGTCACACCGTGCGTGGGGTGCCATGGCTAGTTCATAACTAATTAATGCAAAAAGCGCTGTGCGGTGTCCACGAACAAAATAGTAGTACTCATTGCCACGATACACAGGCATCGAAACACTTCTTCGCACAGCCCAGTTTGCGTCGAAATGAGCTACAGTAGACAAAAGGCAGGTCAATGGAGCAGCATGTAGTCCAACAAACTCGATCGATCCACGATACGAACAACGAGCTCGCCATGAAGGCATGAATATGATAGCCTTTGTCCCCTTGTTGTGCTGCGAGCCAAAGCGCGGTGCGGTCCGACCGATAGCTTCACCGATTCCATGCCTGGCTACGTAATCGTAGCGGTGCTCCAGAATGTCCCCCTCCCTCTCCCCGGCCACCGCGACCGGCGGCGGTGCGCATGCAGGTGCCTCGAAGACAGCGGGAATAAGGGATGGTTTGGAAAGCCACGCGCTGACGCCAAGACCGAACGAGCCCTCTTCCCCGTGCGCGCCTGACGACCTGCTCCTGCTGCCCGCAAAGAAAACCACACCAGCCCCACGCAGAGTCGCGCGTGGCGAGTCGTAAACTACTGGATACTGGTGCATGCAGGCCTTGTTCGCGAGGGAGAGTGAGGGGGAAAAGGCGTACCTGGCTTTGCGATATCCAAGCACGTTGTCAGTGTAAAACCCCTTTTGCGTGCATGAACGAATCAACCGTGAATATGCGTCCCGGCCAATCGTGGCCGGACAAGTGATGCCTGCTGGTCCGGCCAGGGACTCGAGTCGTCGTAGGTGCCGCCGCTGCTGGAGTGCTGGTGGCGGTGGCCGGTCCGCCGGTGGGTCTGGGCGTACGCGCCGTGAGACCGGCCGTCCAATCGAGAAGACGCGTACTGTACGCTGGATACGCAGTCCGCGGCTGGTTGATGCTGAATTTGCCCGTGGAACGGTTGCTTCCATCGGGGTCGCGTACAACTCCTGGAGCTGGAGGTGGTGGTGGTGGTGGTGGTGGTGGTACTACTCACCGTAACCGAATACTACTAAGTACCGTTGATTTCGTTTTACAGTGCGCGACGCAGCTGCGAGTAATCCTGTCCAGAGTATGCCCATAACTAACCCACTGCCGGCCGCCCGTCCTCACGAGGAACGCGACCAGATTCAGTGAGATCGGCTTGATCGATGCGGGGGCGCGCGACGCGACTGCAAGGTACTGTTCTGCCTGCTCGCGCCATAGATACCCGCCATGCCCATCCTGTGTTAGTAGGCACTGGGCAGCTACGTAGATAGCTGCATCCAAATCTCAAGGGATCCAACCTACTGGTACGACGTACGTACGTACGCTGCAAATGGATTGGTGAATAACGCCGATGTCACAGGGACGCGCCGTAGAAGGTACGCATTGTAGGAGTACTCACCTACTCCGTACCTGGCAACTACGTGACGTGCCATTGCCGCGCTATCTTTGAGTAGGCCATTGTTATTGTTAGGTGGGTTCCAAAAAGTTTAAAATGTAACTATGTATTGCTTTGTTGGTTAGGACTTAGCGGTATTTTATTTGCCGACTACGGACCACCCCACATGTGACTTCCGGGGTTCGGGTCGTCGTCTTATGCACGTCCGCCTGGCTGCCGCCACATTTTTCAGAATGCTACTCCCCGCTCAATGTGTAGAACATGCAGCACGCGGGCGTGGCGGCGGTGCTGATCGCGGACAACGTGGACGAGCTGCTATTGTAGAATTATAATATTGTACCTGTAAATTTAATTTCAAAAGAAAAAATAGGTTTGAGATTCTGAAAGTACAAAGCATGATACTGAAAGTTAATACTTATACAATCATTAAGTTCTTTAAGTCATCCTTGGAGACTCCCTTGTTCAGCTGGCAAATTGATAACTTCAGGAAACATATAGAAGCTGCTAATTGATGTGTATGCACATGCTTGTATGGCAACTATGAGATAGGGTCCATGGGTTAATAAAGGCGAGAAACACCTGGTATGGTGTGAATAAAGATGCCCTTTTCAAAGGGAAAAAAAAGTAAGTTACTTATGCACTGGCTTAAATCCAATGCATTGGCATTTTCTTTTGTGGTTATCTTCAAACACCTATATTCATGCCGATCTCCTTGTCATTGGCATGACACCTGGTAACAAATACCGAAGATTTAAAACCATGCACTTAAAAAGATGAGCACCATAATATGAGAAACTATGCTAGAGAAGTTGCAGGAGCATCAGAAATTCAGAATGGGGGGCAGAGGTGGAATTGAATGCAGACATCACATAGGTACTCATATTGCATAAGCATCAAGTTGCAAATACAATGTAGCAGCAAGAATAGAAAAAGTAAGGTATAACTTATAAGATACTACGATTGAAGGATATTAATCTACCTTTCAAGCAATCCCTGGTCCTTTGAATGCCCATTTCATTATTGCAATGTAACTTAGCCTCCACCCTGCATTGCTACCTAAATTAAGGTAAAACATTGGAATGCACCAAAACTAACCAGCATAAACCAAACAAGAATGGACCAACCTAGGTGGTGTCTTGGTGGGTGAGGCAATGAAGAAAGCACATGGTGTGCACGGTGGCATAGCACGCACACGCCCCATGAATGGCATCGGCAGAGGCCAACTGCTCCAAATGGAACGGCTTCTTGCTCATGGACAGTTGTATGCAATTCAGAGACATAATCTCATATAGAAATATAGTGGTAGGCAATGATAAAACAACCAGACTAAGAGTTACCCAGCATTTTTAATGCAAAAACAATACTTCACTTTATTTTTCAGCTGTTTATTTGATTATGCTATGTGTTGTTATTGAACAAGATGATTCCGGAGAAACTTGGTGCAGTCCACAAGATAGTTGAAAAGTAATATGCTAAGCTCATTTTCTAAGCCTTCTCTGCATCTAACACAGTTATCTTAGACGAATAAGATTTAATTTTGCTGCACTACCTGTGTGCTGGAGCATATGCTTCCTTGTTGTAATATTGGTCTGCAAGGTCTAAGCATTGTCTATAAGCAGCAAACCTAGGCCAAAAATGCACCTGCATATGCATGCAAGTGTTAAACAACATTTGCACAACCTTGAATCTTCCACAAGCTCTTTTCTTTAAAGAAAGTAGGCTTCTAGCAAGGCCAACTCTATCCTGCTCAATCCCATGCAAGATCTGCAAACACGAAGATGTTCATAACACTTCAACCTCTGTTGTTTCAGAAGCAAGTTAGTAGACAAGCAAACGAGGAAGGAACGAAGGCACACCTGGGCAGTGGCACCTGGGGGCATTGTGTGAGCGAGTTCTGAACAGACATTTGATGGAACACCCTAGGGACGTTCCTCCAGCGGCTGCAGCAAGCATAGATGGCGACAACGGAGAGCCACTGACGTGCGCTAAGATGGCCCCCAGCAATGCTCGCGGAAGAGGCACGCGGCTCGCACCAGTTGCCCCGGGCACGGCGGCGTGCGACACAGCGTTCGGTGGGCCGAGGCCACGGTAGTGGTCAGCTCGCTCGTGCCATTTCAATGGTGGGCCACGCTCCCTCTCTCTCACGGCGGCGGCGCGGAGGCCATGGCACAAAGGCAAGGCAGCCCTGGCGGGTAGTAGTGGGGCGAGGTGGCACAGGCCCCGACCATGGTGGGGCAGACCCACCCCCGGCGCGGCGGCGCGGTGGCATAGGCCCCTGGCCATGGCAGTGCGAGACGCCCTTGGCCATCGGCGCGGCTGCTCCCCAGCGCGGGCGCGGCCGGCTCCAAGAGCTGCTGGAAGAGCGAGCGCACGTGGTGGGCCCCGCCGGCACTGGGCGCGGGCATCTGGCCGTAGGGCGACGGGAGGCGCGCCTGCGGGTGCGCCGGCCGCCAGAGCGATGGCGAGAGGCGGCGGTACTCAAACACGGACGCCAGATCGAGCGGGTTCGCGCGGCTCCCCGGGTCGACGCCCGAACCGATCCGCAATCGAACGGATAGTATCGCTTCTTCGCCGGATCGGACGGCCAGTGGGCTAACAGGTGACGTGGCCCTATCCGTTGGCCCGCTTTTGAGAGCAGGATTACTATATAGAGATGTAATAATCGACAAAAGAGAGTACAAAACCGCGCTAATCATACGCGCCAAAACGCCCTGAATCGTCCGTCGGCTGTGTCGCCGAACATCGAACAAGGCAATGCAAGCAGCAAGCCACCGGACCCCGGAGCGCGGGGGCCCACCTCACCCTGACGCACGCACGTCCACGCCGAGTTCTGCGGCTGCCAACGCGCGCGCCGCGGCCACCCCTTTCCCTTTCCCCCATCCATGTCCGGCCACCCATAAATACTCGCCAGGGGACGCAAAAAGCAACCGAGCCGGCCACCGAGCGTTCCGCGACACGTCCCCTTCTCGCCCTCCTTCTGCCTTGGCTCGTGCAGCGCGCGCACGCACGCACGTACAGACATTCTGTCCGCAGGACAGCTTGGTCGATCGCCATGGAGACCGTGCCGGCGATGATGATGACGCAGGTGGCGTCGGCGTCAGCGACGCGCCGACCGCAGGGCACCCGGGGCCCGGGTGCTGCACGCACTCTGAACAGGGTCGCGTTCCCACCGGCGCGGCATGGTGGCTGCAGCGCTAGCAGGGACCTCAGGGCCGCCGGGCTCGTCGGCCGCTTCTTTGGCGCCGGCGAGCACAGCAGCAAGAGCCACGAGGTGGACGACCCGGCCCCGGCGAGGCTGTTCGTGGGCCTGCCCATCGACTCCGTCACGGACGGCGTGACGGTGAACAGCGCGGCGGCGATCGCGGCGGGGATCCGGGCGGTCCGGCTGCTGGGCGCGGACGGCGTGGAGCTGCCGGTGTTCTGGTCGGTGGCGCAGCCCGAGTCCCCCGACAGGTTCAGCTGGGCCGGGTACCAGGCCGTGGCGGACATGGTGCGCGCCGAGGGCCTCAGCCTCCGCGTGTCGCTCCGCACCCACGGTACGCCCGGCGCCGGCGTCCCCACGCTGCCTTCCTGGGTCAGCGGCGTCGCCGCCGACGACCCCGAGATCTTCTTCACCGACCGATCCGGGGGCCGACACGACGGGTGCCTCTCCTTCGCCATCGACGACCTCCCCGTGCTCCACGGCAAGTCCCCGCTCCAGCTCTACGAGGCCTTCTTCCGCAGCTTCGCCGTCGCGTTCGACGACTTCTTCGACTCCACCATCACCGTAACATACATGCATTCCGTTGGTTGTTGCATTGCATGCATATGCATGCGTGGCCAGTGTTTCACGGACACGCGCTTCTCGTTGCGCTGCAGGACGTGACGGTGGGGCTCGGCGCGCACGGCGTGCTCCGGTACCCGTCGTACCCGCCGGGGAGCGACGCCCGCAAGTTCACGGGGATGGGCGAGTTCCAGTGCTACGACAAGTACATGCTCCAGCAGCTGCGGCAGCACGCCGTGGAGGAAGGGCACGCGATGTGGGGTCTGGCGGGGCCGCACGACGCGCCGCGGTACCACGACTCGCCGGACTCGTGCGGCTTCTTCAGGGAGCGCGGCGGCTCCTGGGAGACTCCCTACGGCGACTTCTTCCTGTCGTGGTACGCCGGGCAGCTGGTGGGGCACGGCGACCGCGTCCTGGGCACGGCCAACGCCGTGTTCGGCGGCAAGCCCGTGGAGCTGTCGGCCAAGATCCCGTTCATGCACTGGTGGCACGGGGCGCGGTCGCGCCCCGCCGAGGCGGCGGCGGGATTCTACAAGAGCAACCAGAAGAACGGGTACAGCCCCGTGGCCAAGATGTTCGCGCGCCACGGCTGCACCATGGTGGTGCCCGGGATGGACGTGTGCATGAACAAGCAGCACCACAGCACGGGGTCCAGCCCGGACACGCTGCTGGTGCAGATGAAGAACGCGTGCCGCCGCCACGGCGCGCGCATCGCCGGCGAGAACGCGTCGCTCGTCATGACGCACACCAGCAGCTTCTCGCGCATCCGCAGCAATATCCTCACCACCGAGCTCATGCGGCCCTGCCACTTCACGTACCAGCGCATGGGCGCCGAGTTCTTCTCGCCCGACCACTTCCCGCAGTTCATGGAGTTCGTGCGCAGCGTCGTGTGCGGCGAGTGGGACGAGGACGACGAGGAGCGCGGCATGGCTGTGCCAGGCAATGCCAGAGCCACGGAGGCCAAGGTGGCCTGAAGTTTCAACTCATCACCACCATGCCTCACTCAGCTGTCTCATTATATTTAGAGTGCCAAAATACTTGCAAATAATATTTCCGCTGGTACTATTTTTAGGGAAATTTCTCGCTACTAGATTTAGCTGAGTATTAGTGGATCAGGGTTGCAAATGCGCAATCCCATATGCATTTTTCTTTTGGCGTTTTTTATTTTGTATTTGGAGGCTTTATTACTTGTTAATATATTGTCTCAACTTGAGACCATTTATATTATATGGCGACGCTATATTTTAGACTTTCAGTCAAGTATCCTCCGTCGACGATATAACATAGAACGAAAGAGAAATCAGATCTTCAACACTCGGTGCTTTTGGAGGCCAAGTTGTTATGGCCTTTTGTTGTACCCGGAGTACGTGAGTAGTTTAGTTCTTTTCGCCCAGCTTGATAGTCTGTCAAACTTGGGAAGCTATTTGCGCTGCTTGCACATGTAATTCTATTTTCTTCTTATTAATATATACAGGCTATGTTCCGGATCTTTCAAAAAAAAAAAGATCTTCAACATTTGTACATACTTAAATGGATGTAATGAAATGGCTTCTGGCACCTTACAAGGGTCATTTCAAACAGCAGGGTTGGATAGATAGATACTTGCATAGATAGATACAAAAAGCATGTTCGCTTGTTGGTTTTTAGCCAAAACCAGTCAGCCAATAGTATTTTCCTCTCACAAAAAACCAGCACCAGCCAGCCCAAACCAGCACCAGCCCCAACCAGCGAACAGGCTCAAAGTATGATCTCTCGACTGTAATACTATAAGGTCAAACAACACTGAATCGAAAGCGAAATACTGCTACTATTTTTGAGGGATTTTTTCGCTGCTACTAATTTAGATGATGAGAAGAGCGAGATGATCCAATTATTAGTGTATCAAGGTTGCCAATGTAGGGGGGGCTTGAGCCCCGGGCACCCGCGCTAGATCAGTCCCTGCTTAGAGCTGGGGTCATTTCAAATTCAAATAGCAGGGTTGCATAGATATAGATACATACATGTATGATGGGAAAATTAGTTCTGTAGCGTTGAAAGATCATGACATTTGGAAATTGCTGCTACTATTTTCGAGGGTAATTTTCGCTGCTACTAGATTTAGATTTAGATGAGAAGAGCGAGATGATCCAAGTATTAGTGGATCAAGCTTGCAAATGTGCAATCACATATGAATTTTTCTTTTCACGATGGTTTTTCTCTTTTGTATTTGGAGACTTTATTACTTCTTGTATTGTCTCAATTTGAGACCATTTATATATATTATAGGCAACACTATATTTTAGATAACTATTGTCTGTCGACGATGTTATTATAACATAACCAGAAATAGGGAGAAACCAGATCTTCAACGCTTGTGTGTACTTAGATGGATGTAATGCAAACCAGATCTTCAACACTTGTATGTACTCAGACGGATGTAATGCAATGCCTTCTGGCACCTTAGAGGCAGGGACGGACCTTCTTACTCCATGGGATCAACGGCCGGTAGGGCCATATGAGGGCTTGAGCCCCCGGCGGCCTGGCCCACCGTTAGATCTGTTAGATCTGTTCCTGCTTATAGCTGGGGACATTTCAAGTTCAAATAGAGAAAATAGGTTCTATAGCATCGAAAGGTCGTGACATTTGGAAAATACCATAGAAAAGTTTAGTGGTCCGTAAAATACCATTGAAAGCGAGGATCCGTTCCAAAATGCAGCAGTCTATTACTTCCGCTGTTTAACGGCATTGGTTGGCCTCCGACCCACGCAACTGCTTCACTCAAAAAATCAGACTGGGCAAATTTACACCAAAACAAAAACCAAACCGAAATATCGGTTTTTTCGGTTTCGGTTTCAGTTTTAAGGTTCGATAATGATACTGTGCGGGCGTCCGTCCCGTTTGGACGGGTCCCGCACGACTCGACTAACCGCGCGCCTCGCCTTATCCACTCGACTCCCCCACCCACTCCCATCCCGTCCTGTGACCGCCGCACCCAGTCGCTCACTCCGCTCGCCCGCTCCTCCGCACCCACTTTCTCGCTGCTGCGCCGCGCGCCCTTCTGCGGGCCGCAGCACTCGCACGCCAGATCACTGCAGCCCCTCCCTCCCTCCCCTCCATGACCTCCATGCCACTAGAGAGGAGGGTGATAGTGGCGGCTTTCGGCGAGGTTGGTGGGTCCTCTCTGGATCTGAGCCCTCCTCCTCCTTCTCTGGATCTGAGCCCTCCTCCTCCTCCTCTCCTCTGGATCTGAACTCTCCTCCTCCTCCTCCTCCTCCTCCTCTGTAACACCTCTAGTGTTACGACCTTGCTTAGCACCTAGGTTAAGGTCACAGGGAAATTAGCAAAACAAGTTCTCAAGTTGAAAATTTTAAAATCATGCATGAAATGATAAACAAACCATGTGCGACCTACCTTTAGTGGACGAGAGAAATCAAATAAATATCTAAGTTAATTTACTTAGCACGTAAAAATGCTAATGAAAATCCTAACAAGAAAAATATGATAAGTAGTTTTAATTGTTTGGCACGAAAAACAATTTCTATAAATAAAAATAAAATATAATTTGTATTTAGTACTTAAATAAAAATTGAAGTACAAGTTTAGTAGATGGAAATGCAGCTTTAACTTTTGGAAAATAAATGTTGTTAACTAGTGTTCTTGGGAGCTCAAAAAAATCAAATATGAAATTAAAATCAGACATTTTCGTTGAATCGGCAAGAAGTTGAACTTGTGATTAAAGTGCCATTTTTGACGAATTATATTGAGCAAAATAATTAAATAGTACTTAAATATTTTATTCCTATGATTTAGTATAAAGTATGGACTATTGCATGAAGTATTTGTTAGTTGAAGTTAACAAGGTTTAGACCTATTAAAAATTGCGACAAAAAAGTTAATGGCTACTTAGCCCCAAGTGAAACCCTTAACTTTTCTAAGTATGGAAGGGTAGTAGACAATGACATTTTGGCATTTAAATTCTAACTAAAATATTTAAACACTAGATCCATGTTTTTGTACTGTTGGTTGCTTCTAAGTAAGCATTTGAGCATGTTGTAGGTCAAAGTTATGTTGAATGTCACGTTGTCGGGGACCTAATACCGGGGTACCCAATGAGGTGGAACTAATAACCATCGAACGCTGACACTTTCGGTCAGGCAAGAACGCTACTGCGCTTCTTGCCCGAACGACAGAAGATTGGTTCCGCCTCGCCCGACCACCAAGGGATAGACCCCGCCTCGCCCAAGGGCTGAGGGCTGGCTCCGCCTCGCCCGATCCCTGAGGGCTAGGCTTCGCCTCGCCCGAGGGCTGAGGGCTGGCTCCGCCTCGTCCGACGTCCGAGGGCAGGCTCCGCCTCGCCTGATCCTTGAGGGCTGGCTCCGCCTCGTCCGATGTCCGAGGACGGGCTCCGCCTCGCCCGAGGGCTAAGGGCTGGCTTTGCCTTGTCCAACGTCCGAGGGCGGGCTCTGCCTCGGCCGACCCCTGAGGGCTAGGCTCCGCCTCGCCCGATGGCTCAGGACGGGCTCCGCCTCGCCCGACGTCCGAGGGCTAGACTCCGTCTCGCCCGACCCCCGAGGGCTAGGCTCCGCTTCACCCGATGGCTGAGGACGGGCTCCGCCTCGCCCGACGCCCGAGGGCGGGCTTGACCTCGCCCGACGACTGAGGGCTAGCTCCACCTTGCCCGACGACCGCACCTTGATCCTTCATAAAGACGAGCACAGGGTACGACAGGACATTCGAGTCAACCACGATATCGAGGGCCATGCCCTGTGCACCTATAGGAAGGTACCGTCAGGATACGATGGGACAGGCGCTTTAAGGCCTTTTCGACATCACAGTGCCCGAATAGTGTTGTGGGCACCAACTTTTATCCCACAGTGTAGTAGGCACCGCCTTCAGTCCTTGGGCGCGGATACTAACACAGGCATACGACAACCACTATAATCCAAGGAAAAACTCACATCATCTACAATAACAGGCGTATAGTCGTCTCCCCGTCCGCTCCCCATAGAGTCATGGCTCGGCGTCCTGACACCCCACGTCGTCTGTCGGGGAGGATGGGACGTAGCCACTCGCTGAGGCAGGGCCAGGGCGTGGCCCTGTTAGGGTCAGCGAATGTACCATCTCTGGCATGGTCTACCATGACAGCAGTACAGTCTCAAGGGAAAAGGAAAGCTCAGCACCTTCGAAGGGGGACCTCCACCTTAGGTTTTTTCCTCTTTCTCCCATCTGTAAACCCCCTGCTCCCCCTTGGTCTATAAAAGGGAGGGCAGGACTCCCCACGAAGGGAGATCAGTTCGACATACATAACACACCACGCATACAGCCAAGCAGCGACCAAGCTCTTAGCGTCTTTTCGACCATTCCATCAGAGACTTGGGACCTTTCCCTCTCTCGACCGTTTGTACCCCCTACTACGAACCTTTTTCGATACTGATAACATGAGCAGCGGCAGCAGACTGGACGTAGAGACATTCAGCCCAGACCAGTATAAACCTTGTGTCCTTCAGTGCACCATCCGGGCCTAACGCGCAATAATTATAAATTTACTAGCCGGTGTTTGTTCAAAACACCGACAGTTTGCGCGCCACGTAGGGGCCTTTGCGCGTTCCAAATCAGGCCTCGGATGGCTAACCACACAATTAGCTGGGTCACGGGCGCACACGTGCGTTTCGGTGACCTGGACTTCATCGTCACGGTGGGAGGAGAGTTGGTGCTGGCCCATCTCGCCATCCAGTCTTTCCCCTCCATCAGCTCCGGTTACGGGAGGCTTGAGTGCCAGCCCGACGTCTCCCTCGGACCCCGGCCGTCCAAGGAGGACCCGCGCCGCCTCACCCTCTCTCCGGAACACTCCGCACGGAGCGCCCCAATGGCGTTTTCGTTCGGTCTCCGCAACACCGTGGCGACCGTCAGCCACCTTGTGGCACAACACACGATCCCGTCCCCCGCGAACAACGAGTTCATGGGGATGATCGAAAGCATCACAGAATCCCTCCAC